ATGACCTCCCTTAACTAGGTAAAAATATTTTTAGTTAGTAAAAGCGCTCTAAAAGTATTGAAAATGACCTAAAATGTACGACAAATACAGCTATTTTGAATCGTTACCTGATGAAAGACTGGTACCGAAAATTCCGGCCTTATATAGTATATAGATACGGCACGTTTCAGCAAACGCAAATAGACGAAAGCATGGCACACTTGAAGCGTAAACAAGCGCTAGCAACGAGCTTTATGTATGACGTGCGAACTGAGGTACTTTAGACTCTTTAGTACTTATATAGTTATATTCCTAATAGTTTATTGCGTTCCGGTATACTCAACTTCGTTTAGTTGAATTAATTTCATTTCGCCTATTAATTCTGTCATAGTACGGACTGTATAAATTCTAACTATATCCAACTATCTACAATGGACTATGTACAACGAAAATATCTACAATATGCCACTGACAACTCACGACATCTGAAACCTACAAATTATGCTACTATAACATTGATTTCGCATTTCGGCGGCTTATAAGCGATAAATCGTCGTATGGTGATATCATTGAATTGATTTAACCAATGTATCGTATCTACATAAGGCAGATTTATTTGGATTTTGTTTAAATTATCAAAAAATCCCAATTCAACGCAGTTGAAGCTACATTGTTTATAGTATTTACAGATAGGAAGAGCGCACTGTGTCACACTGCATACGTCATCATGACCTCTTGGCCGCGCGAGGAATTTCATCAGCTAAAATTTTCATAGCCCAACTTTAAACGCAAAATTCACAAACTTCTAGTTCGAAGTTTTCAACAAGGTTGGTATTAAAATGATCAGAAAAGATGAAATTTTCAGATAATGCAAAAATCACAAAATCGAAATTTTCATTGCATATACACTTTAATGGGTTAACCAAAAAATAGTTAACCCATTAAGCTGCAATGTGCCCTAGTGTGCACTTTTTATTTTTTTACTTGTCTAAGGGAGCGGTCATTATTTCTGGCGGGGGTGGCACCGAAGAGAAAAGGGTTGGGTGAACAAAATTTTTAGTGAGTAAAAGGTTGAGTAAATGAAAAAGAAAACTCATGGGTTGGGTGATAAAAATTTATTGTCATTTCCAAAGCACGACTCACTGAAATATTGGAGACTGAGAAGCAACAGTCATCAATATGGCAATATGTCAGATATGGCAAGATGTCAACAGTCATATGTCAATACAATATGTGAATCAATCAGAGTCACTATATCTTGATAATTTCCCCATTTGTTGGGAGGCAAATGGTGTCTCCAAAGAAAGTACATGTGCAGACAACATGAAACTTTAGACTGCAGAAAATATCACAAGCTGTTATCAAACTCATGTCACAGAAGTGGTAAAGGACATGTGTGAAACTGAATTGTAACCATTTGTAACATTTTTGGCAAGGGGTGGGTATTTATTTTTTAATTGATATTTGAGGTTGGGTAATCTTTTTTTTTACTATTTAATGGTTGGGTCAGCAAAATGTTTGCCACAAAAAACATTTCTCTTCGGCACCCCCCCCCCCCTTTGACTTGTTATTAAACCATAAGTGAAAACTATAATTGATCTGTAATGTTTAGTATAACCAATTTCTCGTATAAATATTTATATTAATTTGTAATATTAGTATTTATTAATATTTATATATTTTGTTTGCATTAAAAAATTAAGAGTGATGAACAACATTGTGTGTCTTTTACTATTCCTATAGGAAATTAGGATAAATTTCCTATAGAAATTCCTGTAAGATATGATATGCCATACTACAAAACCAGAACAGTCAAAGTGATGTACTTTCCAGAAGGGTGTATTTATTAATAAAATTATGTTTCAGTGACAGTGTTAAATTAAACAAACTTTAGCAACAGGTAGCTAAAATGCTTCTTATGGTGAAATAAGCTTAGACTTGATTGTATTCTAGTTTGGATAAACTTATTCAATAGTTTGGATAATTTAATAATTCCATCTACAAAATCCCTTCAACATTTTGTGTGTGAAAAGCCAGCTTTTCACCTTGGGTATTAAACAATCGAGCTTGTGGTTCTCAAACAACACTGGTTCCATTGTGAACTGTGCATTGTGATTGTGCAAACAGAGCAAAATGCTTCCATTAACTTTGTGTATCAAGTACTTGATAAATACTAAATTTTCGTAGATTACATTCTAAATTAGACTCCTCAAATTTTCAAATACAGTGTATAAAATTGCGTTGATGCAAACAGGTAGGTGAAGGGCGACAATTTACACAATAATCTTGTAGATGTTGCGTACACGATATATAATTTCCATAGTCGTGAATGTGACTGATATCCGAGTCTTGAACTTCATCATTCAATTCGTTTCAAATGTATTTAATTCTTCAAATATCCATGTAGTTGGTTTCCAGCAGTCTTGAATTTGTCCATATCATAGTTTAAGCAAAAATTTACATGTAAATATCTGATTTCTACCATATAAATTTAATACCAGTTTATATAATTGCCACTCGTCACGCCAGCCATTGTTTATTGTTAACCCGCATTTCCTTCCCACCCGCAACATTCCTTTAGAGCAAAAGAGCCAATCACAATCAACTGCTCAACAGCCTGAACCAGGGCCACTGTGAGGGCCGCCCGAGCTTGGGCCTGGGGACGAGGATGGGCAGAGTCTTCGTTACATTTTGTCAACCATCGATCTCACCCCCCGTCGCGCACCAGTAAATGTCCTCTACTAACCCTACATTATCGCTACAAATCCTATATAATTCAGACTCTGCGGAGGAGAGTGATAGCGTGCCGAATTACATTTAGAGTGCCAGGCGTAGTGGTCTGTAGTTGATACCACTGCACTATGTAAAGTAACTTTACTAACAAACGTAGTTAATTTTTAACGAAGGTTAGCCGTAGCGTTATAGTGTATAAAACGCCGTGTTCAACAGTACAGTAGTTTATACGCAATTGTTGATTATGTGTTGATCAAGTGAAAGATCATATTACATGCAGAAGCGTATTGTTTACATGATATTTTCCTCTTTCGTGACTTCATTATATTTAACTAAATTTTCAGTTAAGTTGAAAAATATATAGTGAAATATGATAAAAATGCATGGATTTCAAAAAGTTACAAAATTTTCTTCTAAAAAAATATCATAAATTTTCCGTTAATCACACAATTTTTTGATGTTCCCTTTGGAGTATTTTGCCGTGAAATTGCAGGAAATGGCCATTCCAGACTTCTAAAATTCAAGATTTTCCTGGGAAGTATGCCCCTGGACTCCCCTAGAATGTGTGGGTCTTAAGCCGGTTTTCCACTTCAAGCGTACCCGACCAAAACGTAACAAAAACTTTTTTAAATTTCAAAATTTCGTGAATGTTGATTGGTTAGTACTTCCGTAGTACGCCAAAAAGTTGACTTGCGACGAACTTTTTATTTTGATACGCGAATACATCCGGAAGTAGGTGGATTTATAAACCTCTTTTCAATCTGCGCATGCTCACCAGTACGTTTCGCTACGATACGGGCGAAGTGGAAGTGGCTTTAGTCTTAGAGCAGGACTAGTCAAATTTCGTTAGCTACGCTACTGAAAAGAATAATGCATGAATGGTCATTTTTTCGTATTATAAGTACAGATAAACTTTGAAACACATGTGCAACCAGAATAGTCCAGTCAATCTGTGACCAGAGGTCAAAGAAATTGCAATAGAATTTTTCTCAGTGGTAAAATGTGAGGAAAGGTGTCCTGATTAACATACTAAAAATCAAAAAAAATCCCTTCGGTGGAACATGGTGAAAATCAAGTTTTTCTTACTTCTACCTATAGAAAACCAGTTGTGGACAGAATGTTCAAATTTTGAAATCATTTTTAAGCAAATGTAACCTACATTTTTGGAAAGCTTAAACAAAACTATATAAAGGTCAATTAAACCGTTATATTCAATTTACTGGTCAGTTTGTCGTTATTCTAGCTCAAAGTTGGAAAAATAGCGCAAAATTTGCACAAAATACAAATTTATGGCATTTTAAATCTTGTATAACTTCGGCTCGATAAGCAAAAGCAAGGTAACCGTTTAATGATCTGTATTTTAGTTTTTTTCTAAGCTTTCCAATGATGTATGTTATATTTGCAAAAAATAATTTCAAAATTGCAACATTTTGTCCGCAATGGTTTTCTATAGGTAGAAGAAAATTTTCACCATGTTCCACCGAAGGGATTTTTTTGGATTTTTAATATGTTAATCAGAACAACTTTTCACACACTTTACCACCGAAAAAAAATCTATTGCGATTACTTTGATCAGGACCATGTACTTATAGTGATTTGACTGGACTAGAAACAATTAGGGGGCATCTAAAAAATCTAATTAACATATACATGCGTAAATGACACACAAGTACGTTTGATTTTATTACTGCTTGGCAGGATTCAAAAGCTCAATTAAACAAATCATTCGAAATATTTCCCTTAATACAACGTCAAGTTATTCTATAATCTTACCTGAATGACAGTGGTCGTGCAATTGGGGCAAGGGCATTCAACTTCGTTTCCACCACTGCTGTAGCATCATTTTCGCTATACGTGTACGTAATAGAATCCATCTCCACGGATGCCACTAAAATACAAACATATATAAAAAACAATTAAATACGATATTACTCTAAAAAATGTGACATTTAATTGTGACAATCCTGGCGACGGATGATTAATGTTTGAATCGTTATCATTTAGATGTAATGTCCTCTGTTTAACATAAGACATTTTTTTTTCTGCGTTGGTGTTGTGTACTCAGGTGAATATGATGTTTGTGATGCTACTCTGAGTGTATATCCACACCGGGCGAGCTTGAAAAATATTCCCAGCCACGGTGGGAATCGAACCTACAACCTTTGGAATACTACCCAATGCACTGCCAACTGAGCTACGCGGTCAGGACGGTCGAGTGTCTGAAATATCACTTGATATTTCGGAACAGAATCTAGTTCCTTCGATGTATCAATGTAATCTAGTAATATGATTTTTTTTCTATGTTGGTGTTGTGTACTCAGGTGAATATGATGTTTGTGATTGTTACTCTGAGTGTATATCCACACCGGGCGAGCTTGAAAAACATCAAATCAAATCAAATCAATTTATTCACTACATTACACACATATACAAGTATTTCAAAATTAGGAATAATAATAAGTAGCAAGGTAGCCCAAAAAGAAACCAAAAGGCTTTTAAGATTTGGGCTCCTTTCTTAAATATCTGATAGACAAGGAGGCAGTGTCACGGTAGCAAACATATAACAAAATTGGGTTACACTATAATATAATATAATATAAATAATACTGTTCGTAATAATATAGTTCATAAAAATATAGTGTACATATATAATACTGTTCGTGAGTGATTACAAAGAAAACATAGCAAACAAAACTAATTACAGGTTACAAATCTGGCGGCAAAAAAAGAATATATAAAACTGATCGTGGATAATTAAATGGAAAACAGGTATTTTCTTAATTTATTTTGAAACGAAGTGACGGTTGACGCTTGACGAATATCTTGGCTTAGAGTATTAAAAAAATTTGCAGCCTGGTAAATAACTGAAAATTTTCTAATATTAGTCCTACAGAAGGGAAGCAGGTACAAGCTAGCATTACGTGTATGATAATTATGAACTTGACCGAACAGAGTAAAGAAACCGTCAAAAACTTTTGGAAGTAAATTATTTTGATACAAGTACATGAATTTACTAAGGTGATATTTGCAAATTTTCTCCACTGTCAAAATCTTTAAATCATTAAAGATTGGCTCAGTATGGGCATCAAATTTGTCTTTATTGACACTCTTATAACACGCTTTTGAAGCAATACAATACGATTTAACTTGGTTTGATATGTTGAACCCCAAACAATTATACAATATTGAATGTAAGGATATACAAGAGAATAGTACAGTTTATATAAGTACGTTTTTGAGAGACAAAAACTTGCCTTATGTATAATACCTATAGATTTAGATATTTTCCGGGCTACATGTGATCTGAGGCTTCCAAGATATATTCTCATCAAGGATAACGCCTAAGAATATAACCTCTTTAACGATAGCAATTTTGTCACTATTTAATGATATAGGTAACTCAATGTTTAATCTTTTTTGTCTGGGTTTAAATAGCATATAATTAGATTTCTTTATATTTATTGATAATTTATTTGCCCTAAGCCACTCAGATAACTTATCTGTTTCACGATCAATTACATTAGCTAAGGAAGATTGGTTTTTATGGGAATAAAATAGATTCGTGTCATCAGCAAACAGAATAAATTCAAGTACATTTGTAACATCACATAGATCATTGATATATAATAAAAAAAGAAGTGGACCAAGGATAGAACCTTGCCAGACTCCACACCGAATAAATTTAAAGGTTGATAATGTGTCATTATACTGAACAAATTGCAATCGATTATGAAAATAGTTTTTCATCCAATCAAGAGCCACTCCTCTGATACCATAGTGTTCCAGTTTATCAAACAAAATGTCATGATTCACGGTGTCAAATGCTTTTGACAGGTTAGAAATATACCAACCAGTATGAATTCTTTCCGATCGATTGCTGCGGAAATTTTGTTATACAATTGCAATAACGCTTGTGAAGTTGAGTGATTTTTTCTAAAGCCGTACTGATGGTCAGATATAATATTAAATTTGTCAACATAATTTATTATGCGATTATATACAATTCTTTCCAATAATTTGGAAAAAAAAGAAAAAACTGAAATAGGTCTATAGTTTTGGAAATGTCTATGATCACCAGATTTAAACACACGAGCAATTTTCATCTTATCCGGGACAACGCCAGTTGAAATAGAAAGATTGATTATATGAGTTAAAGGTTCAGAAATAAGGTCAATAGAATCTCTAACAGCAAACATTGGGATTTTGTCATAGCCTGCCGCTGTGCCCGGACGCAAAAAATTAACTATTTCAGATACTCCTTCTGGGCATGTAGTAAAACACTGACTACCGGAACACCGGAACACCGCCGGAACACCGCCGGAACACCGCCGGAACACCACCGGAACACCACCTAACCCTAACCCCAACCCTAACCCCCAATCCTAACCCTAAC